TATAGAAGAGTTCATTCCAGTTGCAGTTCCTTGTCTGTAACATATTGCTTATTCATGTTTCCGCTATTTGGTTGCTTGTCCTTTTTATAATTGAAGTATGGGACATTCTCTTTCTTGAGCTCTCTACAAGTAGGGAAAAACAAATAAGATGGGTATTTTACTAGAACTCAAAACATTAACCTCGCCAGTTTGTTATATCCACTGGTAATACAACAATGTATCTCCTAACCTCTCCCTGTCCCCCCCCCCCCAATTCCTTTTAGTTATAGTTACTCCCTAAGTAAGTGGAGAGCATATTTTATACCCCCATATACTAACTGTTCTTGTTCTCTTGCATTTAAGGTGCACTCTGATACTGCATGAGCAGCCACAGTGGTGAGAAATAGAGTGGAGTCGATTTATTAAAAAACCACAGATATATTGAGTGCAAACAATTTGATTGCATAAGCTCCTTGAATATGAAAAAAAAGTTTAACAGGAGATGAAAAACTTGCCATGAAACTTATGTTAGACTTAATCTTGTCGTTTGTGTTTTTTCATCCTATCAAGTCGTGTTTAGCTAATTAGTGGTTTGTGTCCACGTTAGTCTTTCCATGTGTGTGTACTGAGCAGTGAGCAGGTCAATAGTATGTGTGATTTAGTTTGATCAGGGAGGCCATGATCTGCATGCAAGTGAAGCATGGATTCTTGGCGAGAAGACTGGATCAGATGGCTCATGCATGTGTTGGTTAGTGATTTAGTGGTGCTCTGCATGCAGCGAGTTGTGCCTTGCATGTAGGAAGGTGGTTAGAGGATAATCCACGGGAGGTGCTTGCCGGTTTGTGCGGCAAGACGTGGCTTAACCTGTGCGTGTGTGTGGTCTATTTAACCAATGTAATCAGCATTTGTTAAAGTGTGCCAAAAGTGAAGTGAAAAACAAGTGTTTGTGCTGTGCGCGCTGGTGTGCAGCGTGGAAATTCCTTGCGTACCGTTCATCTTCTTCCTCCGTCAGTTCATCATCTCTGTGTGTGTGTGTTTCATCAAGTGAGAAAGAGAGAGGTGTGTGTGCGAGTGAGTGTTTGGGCTGACAACTTATACTAGAAAACAAGGGAAGACTGTCATTTATATAAAGTGGTCGGATTCACAAGTTGCTTCTTTATAAATGATGCTGATCATGGATACTGGCCCTATCAAGCTTAGCTTGTTTTAATTAGCATTACTCAAGTACAAAAGAAAAACATTGACTTAAAATATTAAAGGAAAGTGGTGCATCTACCAAAACATAAAAAGTAATACTGAATCAAGGTTGGATCAAATGAATGCTAGTAAAAATAACAGGACTGCCTTCTTGGCTGACCAAGATTTTATCGATTCAGATTGGAGGACTTAAAATGAATCTTCTTGCTAAAGAACAATTACCCACGCGCATAGTACAAGAAGCCTCTAGGAATAATTGAAACCATTTTAGTATGAAACATACTCGATAGTCGATAGGGCGCTTTGAATCTTCCCAGATTTTGGCTATTTCCATTTTCTTCTTCATTGTTTTTTCCTGCTCCTGTGCTTCTATCAATTCCTCCTCCTTCATTTCATATTTTAGCCATGGCAGCCTCTTCCTCATTAAATTGGCCTAAGACCAAATCAACAAGAAGTATCACAATTATCATTGAAATTACAGTTCTGTTCATTCCCTTCATAACCAAAAATAGGGAGTTTGTCTCTCTGCCGGACACGTTCAACATCTTTTTCTAGTTCAGCATTGAGGGCCTTTAGATTATTCAGAGTCTGCTCCTTTTGCTTTATAATAAATGAGAACTAATAAAATATGTTAATAATAAATGAGAATAGCTGCCAATGGTCCAAGCAAGCATAAAGAGAAGATCAATGATTCAGTTTACCACTTCAAGGTTCTTCAATTCCTTACTCCTGTATATAAGCTGATGATGCTGAACGGGTAAATCAGGAACACCAACAGCTTTTTGAGTCTCTTCCAATAGTTGAATTGGTCTTGTGGTAAAAACTGAACACAGTTGAGCAGGAAGCAACAGAAATCAGGAATAGGTTCACGACAAATGGATAAGTGAGTGTCTCCTCTGGATTAACATGCAAAGCAAAATGATAACGAATGTAAACAAAGGGAGAGGTAACATAAACTGAAGGTGCACCTGAGTTAAGTTGTTATCTTGAATATTGAATTTCTTGATGAGATCAACAACTTCCTTTCTTGGCACAGTGGCTTTTACAGGTAATAAATATTAGTGATGCACCTCCACAGTTTTCTTCAATTTTTTTAAAAGTAACATATATAGCTCAGAAGAATGAAGGAACACACAAGCAGTGTCAAGGGGAGTACCATCGAGTAGCCACTCGGACTTGTTCTTGGTATCGATCTTCCTTGTGATGCGGATGATGTGTTCGGGTGTATTCCCGCTGAGTGAAATCTTGACATGGCCGGACTCCTCCCCCCTCTTGTCGAACGCGCCGACGCTGGCTGCCCTCCCGAGAACCTGCATTCCGTTCACGCATTTGTTCATACATTTTGCCGTCGTATTCCCAGAAGAATTGCGGCGGGAGGGGAGTGGGAGAGCAGGGTGAGGAGGTTATATGCTGGGGTCAGCGGTGAGGGCGAGGGCGATGGCACAGACGAGGGAGCCCTTGCCGGAGCCGTTGGGGCCGGCAACGAGGTTGAGGCGGGGGCCGGGGTGGCAGGCGAGGCGGTCGTACGTCATGAAGTTCAAGAGCTCGATCTCGACGATGTTGCACGGCACGTAGTCGTCGTCCCCGCGCCGCGGCTGAGTCGGCGGCGGCGGTGGCGGCGGGGAGTCGATCCTGGCGCGCGCGGCGGAGGTCGCCATGGGCGGAGGCCGCGGGTGTTGGCGTGTTGTGGACTGAATTTGTTCGACTTCTACTGAAAAAAAGAGGAGAAGAGAGGAATAAGTTCATCTGAGGTCCCTGAACTTGTCAACGAATCCGATTTTCATCCTTGAAACCCCAAAACCAAATACAACGGGTCCCTTGGCGGTTTAGATGGCGGTTTTAGCTGGCGTGGCACCTACGTGGCTATTTTTGACTCGGTGTTCATCGGATGTGGCACTAACGTGGCGCTTACGTGGCAATTCGATCTAGAAAAATAATAAAACCCGTGGGGCCCACATGTCAGTTACACGAAAAAATAATTAGAAAATGGTGGGGCCCACGTGGGCCCCACATGTCATCCTCACCCTACCCTTCTTCCCCATCTCTCCCTATCTCCCTTCTCTTCATCTCTCCCCTCTCCTCTCTCTCTAGGCGCCACGGGACGGGGAGGTTCGGCGGCGGCGACGCAAGAGAAGGGGCGGACGGCCCAGTCGTCGTCGTCATCGCCACCCTTGAGGAACCCGGCGTTCGCCGGCCGCCCCGCTCTCCTCCCCTCCTGCCACCACAGTCATCGTTGTCGTCGTCCAGGTCGTCACCGCCCTTAAGGAACCCAGTCGACCGCCCTTCTCTTGCGCCGGCCGCCCCGCTCCCCCTCCCCCTTCACCCAGCGCTCCCGCCGCCGCAGTCGTCGTCGTCGTCGTCGTCCAGGTCATCACCGCCCTTGAGGAACTCGACCGGCCACCCTTCTCTTGCGCCCTCCCTTTCTCTTGCGCTGCCACCGCCGCCGCCGGCAGCGGCCGCCGAACCACCCTGTCCCGTGGTGCCTGGAGAGAGGGGAGATAGGGAGAAATGAGGAAGAAGGGTAGGGTGAGGATGACATGTGGGGCTCACATGGGCCCCACCGTTTTTTAATTATTTTTCTTTGTGTAACTGACATGTGGGTCCCATAGGTTTTATTATTTTTCTGGATCAAATTGCCACGTAAGCGCCACGTCAGTGCCACGTCTGATGAAGACCGAGTCAAAATAGCCACATAGGCACCACGTCAGCCAAAACCGCCATCTAAACCGCCAAGGGACCTTATATGCACCAGTTTTGATAGTTGAGGGACCCATTGTATCTGGTTTTAGGGTTCCAGGACGAAAATCGGATTCGTTGACAAATTCAGGGACCTCAGATGAACTTATCCTGAGAAGAAATCGGGTAGGGATTTCTGCTGCTGGGCCGAATCTGCTATTGGGCTTTGTTACTAGGAATAAGTCCACTTTGTCTCCCTCAACTCATTCATCTGGTTGAATCGCATCCCTCAACAGCAAAACCAGGTATAACCCGTCCCCTAACTTCCAAAACCGTTGCAAATAGACTCCCCTGGTGGTTTCGGAGGCAGTTTTATCCTACGTGGCACTTACGTGGTGGATTGACTTGGTCTGCATCCCATGTGGCATCGACGTGGCGCTTACGTGGCACTAAAATAAAAACAAATCTAAATGGGACCCAATTGTCAGCGAGTAAAACCATAAAAAAGAATTGGGCCCACGTGTCAGTTTCCCTTTCTCCTCCTCTTTATCCTCGGCAACGAACGAGATGGAGAGAGCGGCGGGGTGGCGGGAGCTCGTCGAAGTGGCGGGACGGCGGGAGCTCATCGGAGTGGCGGGACGACAGGAACGGAGAGAGAGCAGAGGTGATGAAGCCTTATCCTCGGTGGCGAGCAAGATGGAGGACGGCGGGGCGGTGGGAGCTCGGCGGAGTGGCAGGACCGCAGGAGCGGCCGGAGCTCGGCGAAGCGGTGGGACGGCGGGAGGGGAGAGAGAGCATAGGTGAGAAAGCCACGTCACTGCCTCCTCTCCTCCCTCCCCGCAGCCGCCTCCCCTCCCGCACCCATCCTCTATCGCCTCATCCCCGTCCTCGCCTCCTTGGCCTCGCCGCCGCCTCCTCTCCTCGCCGCCTAATCCCCGTCCTCGCCTCCTCTGGCCTCGCCATTGCCTTCCCTCCTGCGCCCTCCGCCACCGCCTCATCCCCGTCCTCGCCTCCTCCGGCCTCGTCGCCGCCTCCCCTCCCGCACCCCTCCGCCACTGCCTCATCCCCGTCCTCGCCTACTCCGGTCTCGCCGCCACCTCCTCTCCTCCCTCCCCGCCGCCCCGGTCATTCATCAAGAGCGAGGCGGCATGGAAGTCATCCTGGTCAGCCTTGTCGATGCCCTGCACGGCGCGGAGGTGGTGTTGGAGTCGTCGCTGCCCAACGTAGAGGCGTTCGACACGACTGCGCTTGTGGAGGAGGGGTCCAGCTCGACGTCGCCATCTTTCCTACTAGTGCTCGAGTTTAGCATCCCGAGGAGCTCGGTGTCAGGCGAGAACGACGACGAGGAAGAGGAGAAGGCCACCCTGTCGCCCTACAGCAGTCGGTCGGTTGACAAGTGGGTCCCACCTAATGACTCAGCCAGTCAATAGGGTCAAATCAGGGTTTACGTTACCGCCGGTAACCGCGCGGTTACCGCGGGGGTACGGTAATATAAATACCGCGGTAACCTCCTTAAATTCAAATAAATTTAAAAAATAATTTGAATATTTGATAAATTTTGCACGGTTTTGTACGGTTTTTCACGGTTACCGCGGCGGTAACCGTGCTTACCGCCGGGGCGTGATAACCCTGGCCCCGGCGGTTTGGGAAACCCTGGGTCAAATATGCCACGTGGGAGAAAATCGCCTCCCAAACCGCCCGAGGAGTCAATTTGCAACGGTTTATAAGTTGGAGGACGGGTTATATCCGATTTTGCGGTTGAGGGATACGATTCAACCAAGCGAATGAGTTGAGGGAGGCAAAGTAGACTTATTCCTTGTTACTACTGCCTCGACTGACACGCAGAATTCTCTTTATTTGTATATTTATTTTTTAAAAAAATTTATAGAGTTCACCTAAGTATAGATAGATGGCCATAAAGGCCGAGGCCCAATGGCACGGCCATTTGGCCCAACCCAAACACAGCACGTCATGATTGGAGTCGGGCCCGTGACGGCCCGACCCGACAGTTGGGCCATGCCTGGACCGATGCCTTGCACGGTGGACCAGCTCGGCACGACACAGTCAAAGAAACATAATTGAGGTATCCAAAATAGACTTAATTCAATAATTTGTTTCTCCGAAAATAGGACCACCATTCTAATTTGAACTATACATATTAGCATTATTTTTCCCATTTTTGCTATCTAACAGTTTTCCCATGCATTTCAATTCCTTCCGTTTCCTATCCCCATTCATTTTCCCAGGATTCAGATTAGAATGGTGGCCCTATATATTAGTATGGACCTATTTTCGGAGAAAATAGGACCACCACTTAATTCAAATTAGACTTAAACACTGAACACATGCAGGTTCAAATTAGAATGGTGGTCCTATTTTCGGAGAAACAAATTATTGAATCAACCAAAGGGAAAGAGGAAGTTGGTGACCTGTGCTAGATCGTTGGAGTAAATTGAGGAGGATGGTGCAGTGATGCATATGTTTCCAGCGAGCAAGCTCCAGCAACATGAGCGAAACACCATCGGCCTGATAGATTAACGATTACGCTTGATAATTATTAAGATTATGTGAATTTATAAGTAAAATGAAAAGAGGGGATAAGAAGGGAATAAAAGGCAATATATATTCAGGTGGGAAACCTCGCCATTAAGAAGTAATTGTTCTCGCCGCCATGGTTACTCGTGACTCGTGAGCGTGGTGGTCGGAGTTCACATTGACCGCTCGCATGCCGCAAGGGGCGATGGAAGTGAAGAAGACTGGATGGGCTGGATCAATCGGTTAAGTTGGGTTGGGCCTGAGCTGCTGCAACCGAGCTATGTAACGGAGAGCTGAGGGAGTTTGCAAATGTTGAGATCAAATCTAACGGTTATGGAATTTGTGGTGAGGTGGCTTCATGTGAAGGATGTTTTTATACTCCCTCCGTTTCATAATATAAAACTTTCTAGTATTGTTCATATTTATATAAATGCTAATGAATCTAGACACATATATATATATATCTAGATTATGTGTCTAGATTCATTAACATTTATATAAATGTGGACAATAATAAAAAGTCTTACATTATGAAACAGAGGAAGTATGAGTTAATGATTTTAGTGGATACCAACTGTATGGTAAGAAGAGATTTACATTATATCATTTCAGCCAGTTTTAATTGGTATGAAAGCTAGTGATGCTTACTTAACATTCTAAATTACTTTAAATGAAAATGTGATAACTACAAAGTTGTAGATATACTACTTTTATATAAAAAAAATAGAGAAAATATTTCCATCAGAGATCGTTTGAGATTTAGATCTAAGATTTTATAAAAATATTTTTAGTTTTTGTAACAAATGTTTGCACTCCTACATGGTCTTGAATGAAAAAGTTGGCAAGTACTTCATAGATCTCCTCTGGCTCTATAATTTCAATATATGGTTTGATTTCATCCGACTTCATATGGCACATTTGAAATTGTAAAAATACAAGGTTGGCAACCTATATGTGAAATTTTGTATCTAATCCCTTCTTGCCCTCTCAGGGAGCGATTTCTATACTCCTTAAAAATACCCCAATGGCGAATCTGTCACCCCACCTACTCCAATTATTATTTTTTTAATATTCACCCCCTAAACTTTTTAATATTACATAACAACTAAATCTAAGTGGATAACCATGTATATAAAATTAAATTAAGATGAATATTCCCTATTCCAACAAGATGGTAATGTTCTTTTCTTTTATTTATCCGTAGCAAAGCACAGATATATAGCTAATTTCAAAAAAAAAAAAGCTCTTCCAAGAGGCGTTAGTGTATTCTGTATTTTTTTTAAAAAAAATACATAAGTAAATTTAAAAATTGGGCCTGGTTGGAAGGCATTTATTGGAAGAATAAGTTCACTTTTAAGTCCATTAATTTGTCCCTCAGTCTGATTTTGTCCTTGATCCGAAAAACCAGATACAATCTATCTCTCAATTTACAAAACCGTGCAAACAAGATCCCTCGACAGTATTGTCTCCAGTTTTGGTTGACGTGGCGCCTTCAACTAGGTCTTTGTCCCACGTGGCATTGACGTGGCACTTACGTGGCAGTTTGATAAATAAATAAATGGAATAAAATTAAAACTAAAAAATAAAACAAAATATGCGGGACCCATACGTCAGCCAAACAAAAAAATAGTGGGAACCACATGTCGGTGGGTCCCACTTCCTCCACCTCAACCTCTTCCCCTCTCTTCCTCTTCTAGGCCTCCATCCTCCATCCTCCGGTACTCCCACGGTGGTGGTGTCCCACAACGGCAACATCGAAGCGGGTGACCACCGACCACCTGTGCCTTGCGGGCTCCAAGAACACCAGCGACAACAAGAGGAAGAGGGAGAGGAGCGCAGCAAGGACAACGAGTGCAGCGGGCAGCGGGCGGCGGGCGGCAAGGGTAGAGCGGCCGCTCTCCTTTCCCTCCAGATCTCCACCCCCTTAGATCCAGCTCCACCATCGCCGTCCCGCAAACACTTTTGCATGGAGGAGAACCAACCACCCTGCCGTCCCCCGCTCCTCCCAACCCATTTACCACCGCCTCCATCCTCGCCGCGTGGAGGATATACGGAGGCGGTCACCCGCTTCGATGATGACGCCGCACATGACGGGCCCCCACCAACTCCTCCTATTCTCCTGGGCCAGCTGTGTGAGCCGCGCCATGAGCACATACCCGGGTTACCACCACGGAGGTCGTGGACGATGATGACCCAGCCGCCTCCCCTCTCACCCCGCACTCCTCCTGCACCCATTAGATTCGCCCGGTCACCAGGTGTGTGACAGCCTTGAAGGCACGATGGCTGACGGGAAGAGGGGCGGAGGCCAGCGGGAAAAGGGCGATGACCGACGGGAAGGAGCTAGGCGACGGCAGCGATGTCACCGAGTCGATCACCACGGGCCTCCCAAGCTCCCGCCGCAGGGAGGCTAAGCACTGAACCCACGACAACCACGCGGATTTGGGTCCCCTCCTAGCGATGATGGATCCGAGAGCCAGTCACCGCTGCATCCCCTCCCGTCGTTGTTGAGTTCCCCTTTTCGGAGGCCGACATCACCATTCCCTCCCTCTGCATAGCTGCTTCCCCTGCTTCTTCCTTATGACAGAAGAGGAGCGTGACCTCGTCTCCCTTCGAGCAGCGCCAGTGAAGCCGCGTGTCGCCCTTCTCCCTCTTCCTGTGTGCTCGCCAACCGGTGAGGGAGCTCGAGGAGGGAGGGAGAGGGGAGAAGGAGGCACCGATGCCGTCATCCATGGGGAAGGAGGTGGTGACGGGAAAAGAGGGTGCGACCCACTGATTATGTGGATCCCACTATTTCTTTTATCTTTTATCTGGCTGATATGTAGGCCCCACATGTTTTTTAAATTTTTATATTTTGCTTCCAGTGCCACATCACCGCCACGTAGAACAAGGACCAAGTCAAATTATCCATGTATGCGCCACTTTAGCTAAAACTGCTATCCAAACCATTGAGGGACCTCGTTTGCACTGGTTTTGTAAGTTGGGGGACTAGTATCTGGTTTTTGGTTGGAAGGACAAAAATTAGACTAGGCAACAAATTGAGGGCCCTTAAGTGAACTTATTCCTTTTTGGCCTATGGTTTCTAAGCCTTTTTTTTAAATAAAAGATAATCCGGCCTCTACTCAAGGCTGCCACTGGGTACTCAATACCTACTCCCTCTATCCCACGATATAAGGGATTTTTAGTTTTTGCTTGTAACATTTGACCACTCGTCTTATTCAATTTTTTTGCAAATATAAAAAATAAAAAGTTGTGCTTAAAGTACTGTAGATAATAAAGTAAGTCACAAATAAAATAATTAATAATTTCAAAATTTTTTGAATAAGACGAGTGGTCAAACGTTGCAAACAAAAACTCAAAATCCCTTATATTATGGGACGGAGGGAGTATATGCTTACCCTTACCCACATTATTTAGAAAGGGTATGGGTGCAAAGTAATTACACATTTTAATTTTGGGTAGCGGAGGATAATACGCATTATTACTCACTTTACTCATACACATTTTATACGTGTAAAATTTGGATCCAAAATTTAAAAACTCGTATTCACATTATAAAAACTTATTAAATTCGATTGAATTTTGTAGAAATGATTTATTGTATAGATAAGCAACTTTGTACAAGCTTTGAGACATTTCTATATATTAGGCCCATATATAGATTACCCAGATCCATTGGATAATACCCTTACCCATTGGATATGGGTAAGCTAATTATAAAATGGGTATAAGTAAAATAGAGTATGGATATGGGTTACTCATACCCTTATAGTGGTAGGCCTAACTCTACTCTAAACTACTCATAGTTCCTAAAAGAATGATAGAGAAATTAATCTTAAACCACGCTAACTCAAAAGGAGATAC